CTTAAATAAGACTAGGAATACGAACTGTTTGGCCCTTGCACAGATGATTTATAGTTATAAATCGAATACACCCTAAATGGGTTTTTACCAGACGCCTTGTATATACGTATCGATTTCGATGAGGTCCACCAATTGAATTAACAGGTTAGTACCTAAGGTGAAATTCTCAGGGGCTAGCTTTGAAGTGATAGTAGGACGTACTTAGCGCCACCACACTATTTACCTTCACCCAGAGCCTCGAAGACTAAACGGGGCCCGGCGTAGTCTGCTTTCTCCAATGCAAGCCGAAACAATGCCTAACGTAATCTTTAATGACAGAAGACTTTGCGCGGGTACTACTGGATGGTCTACCTTCACTTACCTATAGTAGGTGTCTAGCCAGACTCTAGTAAGCCCGGACTGCCACTGCTACTACCACTACTGCTATTTCTAATACTGCTAACTGTGGTGTAAGTGAGTGATAGTATTTGCTGGCACTATTACTGACTGTTTCGTAAGTCAGAAGTGAAGCTGATTAAAATCAGCACTGGGCTCTTATCCCCTCAATCTCAACAAGAAGTGAAGTAGTACTGGTGCTAGCATTGGCGCCATCATTTGTCAGAAGTGACACTGATTAAGCCAACGCTAGGGCTCATACCCCCTTAGTCTAAAGAAGGGGTGTAAATCTGGATTTAGATTATTGCTGTGTCTGTCATCCTTGTTCAAGGCTAACTGCCTCATTATCGAAGTAAGCACTCGAAGGTGCACTCACTTGCAGACACCTTATGGTGACTCCACCTCCGGCAATACGCCAGGGATACGGTCAAATTGCATTTGGGACAGCCAATCACAGGTGCCTCGAATATCTGCCTCTCGCGACGGTCATATGCACGCGCGCACTCAAAGATGGACCCAGTCTGTCTAGCCATTCACTTTCAAGGCCGGCACACAAAGGATCTTTCTGCGGTGACTGTCTACGCTCTCACCACTTCAGAGCAAACGAAGCTCGCAGCTAGACGCGCGGCCAGTGAACGAGGATCAACGCTCTTTCTGCCTATTTTTCACCCCTTTTGTTGAGAACAAAGTTTTCACGTCTTCTCTTCGCCTAATGAGCCGGGCCTGAAGATGACATTGGCAAGGGTTTTACCTATATACCTAATTCACTGTGATTACTTGACCGACTTCCATTTGGACACACACAAATGCGTCCAGATAGTCGTGCCTGCTTAAGAACCACTGGAACACGACACCCCTAGGATGACGCAAGACACCAACTGAATATCATTTGAGTATGCTCCAAAATTTTATAAAAGCAGTTTCCACCACTGTCTAACTCATTCTGTCAGCCATGACTGGACGCAGTCAACAGAACCGCTGGCTTCGCCATTAGGCGCTGCTCTCTGAGATGGCCACTCAGGGTTCTGTGCACCATAAATCCCTCACTATGATGCCTTCTGAGAAGAAGACGACTCGATCGCTGGGCATCTGCCACTGCTCCTTCTTTATGCCTGTGATAACGAATACACGATGGATCTCGAAAAGCCAGGTGAATAAATATGTTGTCCCAGCGATCAAGTCGTCTTCTTCTAAATGACGTCCTGGAACTCGCATGTCCGCTTGTATCAGCAATGATGCCTTCTGCCTGTTTCCAACAACCTGAATTCGACCGGGTTAATGTCCAGTCCAAAATAAACTCATTGTTTAGAAACTTCAAGGTTTATACACAGACGCCATTTTTAAAAATTTGCAGCACAAGTTTCTTTTCGGCCCTAAATGCAAATATGGTGTATGCACCACTGAAAAACAAATAGTGTTGAATGTTTGCCCTTAAATGAATCTTTGCCAACTTGTTCATGTGAATTGTAGAGTGCAAAATAGCCTGACGCAAAATGCATCAATAAATACAGTTAAGCTTACCCTTCGCTTTACGGCATGCCCAAAACCTATCGATAACTCGAAGCCAAATATTAACCAAAACGTAATCCTCATGCTTATCCCTAAACCGCACCCACGATTTTCCTAAGAAAATTGAGCTGGAGAAATTTTGCCGTTAAGGGACCTCATGAAAGATGGTTACCAGGGGGTACACATATACTAGCGAAATTAAAGGAATAATTAAAAAGGTAGCATGGATTTTGCTACGTAGACTTTCAACGCCCTAAATGTCCTTCCGAAGTATTTCTACTTTGTTGGCTTGTGCCACAACATCTTATAGCGGGAAACCAGTATGCCTTTGCTGCACTTCAGCGCTCACACTTCCTAAGACCAATTTTGAATCAACGTCAAAGACTGCTTACTAGCCTTCTCTTGAATTGCGTTTACTCGTTCCACAGATTTAACTGTTTTATGTTAAAATGAGGACTTTGACACATCCTCATATTCTGTTTATGCATATGGCTTATTCGAGTAGAAGGTTGAGGTAATTGGTCGTTGCATACACAACATAAAGTAACATTTTCACCAGGTGCCTGCACATTGAGCAGTCATCATTCAGTACTTCCTGAGGCCCGATGTAATATTGCAATCAGATCTGAAATCCTACTCAAATGGGGATTACAAGAACTACCTTCTGAGTATAGGATCAGTTAAGCATAGATTAGCGATGGTACATGCACTCACCTCCGACTCGTAATTACCGACGCACTGTGGACAAACCGTATTTGAACTGTGCTGGCAAGGCTCGGGTATCGAACACGAACTCTCGGCTACCGGACTGCCTAAGCGAGTGCTTACGTCCGACTGGCTGACCTCTGTAATTGCCTCCAGGTGGATGACGTCAGTCTCGATGAAACATACTGGGCACTGAACAACTCTTTGATCTGAATTCGCGGGCAGAAGGCAGGGATGCAAGCAGAAGATGTGACCACACAGCATGGCGTGTGGATTATTTGGTCTGCAAAGTAATGAAGATGGTAAAAAATCAAGATATTCATTCACGCAGAGAGATAAAGGGACAAAATAAATGAGTGAATGACAGTTGAATTTAGAAGTGCTTGTAGGAAGCTCTGTAGCTACTTTTACCTCCGACCAGAGGCCACGTGATGACGGCTCTGCATGCATACAGCCCCTGGAGCAGCCAATCACAGTCAGCCGATCGACTTGTAAAAGGGCCAGGGACTCATCCTCTCATGACGTTCAAGCGAAAGTAAAGTTGTTCACCAATCTGAGATACCCCCGACAGTGAAAGTCTTATTTCAAGATACTTTTCAAGGGACGCCCCAAGTTCACGCGCCAGGGTAAGTCTACACTCTAAAAGGAAAAATATAACCAAACACTGCTTCTAACTTCCTTCATATTGTCCTCATATCTCACTTAGAACATTTTCGGAATATGCTTATGCCGTACTACTAACATTCTTCGTTCGGCTTTTCTTCATTTCGTATCCGCTTCTTCTACAGGAGTAATCCGGCGATGCACTTAGATATTTTTTGGTCACTGCCTACCGTGTCTTCTCATCCATTAAACCTCTTTTATGGGTTTGTATGGTTGACGACCAACTTTACTTTTGCCGACGTTCACTCATTCGCGGCCACAGCACGCTAGCGGAGAGACCCGCGCGCACGCCTTGAACTTGCCGCGTGTCAGGATCTTTGAACAACACCAAGTTTCTGTACAGAATATTCTGCATATACTAGTGTATTTTCCTTATAAAAAAGGGGACTGAATATGATAATCGTAGTTGCCAATAGTGGAGAATATGCGAGTTCCAGAAAGCATTTCAGAAGAAGAGGGTGCGATCACTGGAGCAAGAGTTATATTTGCCTGACGTTTCGGATTCCGACGGGAATCCTTAATCATAGGTGATGCTAACATAGTCATGGACATGCGCAGATAAAGTTCACCTGTGATTAAGGATTCCCGACGGAAAGCGAAACGTCAGGCAAATACAACTCTTGATCCAGCGATCTCATAATCGTAGTTCTCGTACTCCGAACACTTACTCCACTCTTACTGCATCACGAAATCAAATCTAGTCACAAGTTCACATAAACGGGGTGGCTATTCTTACAGG